TTCCAGCCCGTCTCGTTTACGTATGTATAGCCGCAGGATGTCGGGGGCTTGCAACACCCAGACTACACAAATTAATCATGCCAAATGAAAAGGTTCATTAAGAATGGTCTTGTCGAACGTATTTTTCAATATGCAATTGTAGATCATTATCAAAATGTAAATGTAATGTAATGTATCTGCACATATGCCACTATAATAAAGTTTAAATTGTTACCATGAGGTAAAAAAGAGATTCGAACAATGACAAAATAAAACTATTAGAATAAAACATGATCTTTAGGCAAAAACGGACCCCTTATTTCATTCGCAAGTAACTGTTGAGAAGAAACTCTCGTGTCCGGTTCTGTAGTAGATATGGAATTGAAAAACTACTATTAACTATAACCCCAAAAGAACAAGATTACGTAACAACATAGAGGAAAAATGACGCGAATATCTTATGGAGTGGAGTGATCGTTTTATTTCGGTAGATATGCTCTTCATGCACTTGAACCCACTTGGATCACATCTAGACAAATAGAAGTAGAGCATCGAGCAATGACACAATATGCATATCGTGGTGAAAAAATATGAGTACATTTATTTCTAGACACCAGTTACAGTAAAACCTACAAAAAAGACGTATGAATTTGGAAAAGGGATCTAAATAGTTAGTGAAGTCAAGAGGGGGGTCAACTAGACTTTTCAGCTACCACAATGATGGTGTTATTGTTGGAAATTTCTTGATAAAATATCTGAAGCATCTGTCCCATGATTTTTTGGGGTATTTTAGTCAAATATGTCTAAGAGATATTATTTATGGGGACTCCATTTATAATTGACACTGTTTGGGAAAGCAACAAAAACATGAGCAACATCACATCAATAATGTAAAAAGACTGGGAAGAGACAGGGTCCTATTTATTGAGTCTGTTTATGAGAATTTAGGCTCCCAGCCATCCCTCTCAAAACCAATTACAGTAGGCCACACCATAACATTGAGGGAGGGTTGTCCATGTTGTTAGTGCTGGCTATAATTTATCATGGAAGAATGTATGACCAGGCCCGGGCAGCTCTCTGTAAAGTTGTAAAACCATGTATGAGAGCTAACGTCTATCCATCCAATGCCGCCACTTATTTAATAAACTTTTTTTATAAACACAACTTTACGGCTTTACCCTACGATGAAGATGAGTAATATCCGCTCAACACTGTTACGCAGATCAAATTTTTTTACCAAATGTTTGGTTTGGTAAGTGATGTAATACAGTTTTTCATCATTTGAAATAAAAAAATTTGATAATAATCTTGGTACGCATAACATTACATTACTGATAACTGCTTTGGTTACCAAGAAAAGACACAAGAAAAATAGAAATCAGGACAGGACAGAATGACAATGAAGTGTAGAGAAGGGCTCTAATATTCCCAGACCACCACTAGTGATATTTTGGCCCCTGTTCAAGTCCAACCAAGCATTGAAACCAAACGAAGGATAAAACCAAAAAGGAGGATATTCTATTTCTACCAAAAAGGGAAGGCCAAAAGGATAGATAGAGGCAAAAAACAGCTACTAAAAAGCCAAAGCCAAATGGATAGAGAGAGAGAGAGAGGGGCAAAAAAATAATAATTGTACCCTTTGAAAGTTATTCTCTTTAAATTTTGATTTTCAAATATTCACCCACTTTCAAGTCTAATGACATAAAGTTGGTACTCTTCATTAAACGACAATGGTTTGGGCAAGTGGTTCAGACGTCTCATCCTTAAATAAAGGTGGCCCAAGAAAACCAAAAACTCTTTTCATTCTGCACCCGTAGTATGCCCTCTTTCTTCTTGGCATCATTCTGGCCATATGGGTAAAAGATATTTTTAATCTTCAAAAATGTATCTAGTGTTTATTTAATCTCTAATTTACAAATTTTTTTATTTCATCCTTAAAGTTCTTTAATTTATATCTAAGTAATTTCATTCATAAAAAAAAAATCGTAACAGTTCTAGTCACACATCTGTCACGTGATTCCTAAATTTATATCCATTTAGTCCCTAACCTTACTACTTTGTGTCTAATTTATGTCTGTTTAAGCCCTGATTGGCACGTGACAAGGAACGCTAACGATCTTTTGACAGCCGTTTCAAATTAAATACAAATTACAAATTAAAACTATAAGGAAAATGATAAATATTATATTAAATAATAAATATAATATAAAATAATTAGGAATCCATAACTTAAAATAAATATAAAATAATAATATAATAAATATTTCGTCAATTAAGTTTAAGCTAACACCCTCCAAACACAAGCTCACCACTTCCCAAGAGAAGAAAAAAAAAAAAAAACACTTACCAACTTCATTGCCGAAAAAGCTACCTGTACTCAATTTCTTAACTTAATTTGTATTATTGTGATTGAATTAATAGAGAGTTTCAATTTCAAATCAAATTCACAGTGCAACAACGATAATAGAGGATTAAATTATTAGTAAAAATAAAATAAATAAATTAAATACGAATAATATTACTCTTGTAAAATATCATATACACGACTATGTATGCAGAAATTCATCCCAAAAAATATGCAGAAACATAAAAAAATTATCAATTTTTTTAAAAAAAAAATAAATTAAGTTAAGAAACAGCAGTGTATGTTAAGGCAAGGTAGGGGTAGTAAGTACCTGAACAGGATTGAGTTTTCTGCGGTAAAACATGTCAGCAGGCTCAGGGAACCCACCGGTCATCCTCCTCAACTTAGGACACACATGAGAGTCTCTAATACAAGAACTGATCTTCCTCCAATTACTGTCACTCGCCACGCGCTTCTCCAGCCACCCAGAGTAGTCCACCAAGTAGTACTCGCGGTAGACCCGGCCCGGCACGACCCGGTCCGACCCTTTATCAGTCACGACATAGGCGAAGATCACGAACCCTATTAGGGCAGCTATGATGACGAACATGGCCCACAAGTAGAAGTACATGAGGAAGATGTTCCGGTAACACGCGCCGGCGAAGCCCGCGAGTGAGACCACCATGATGGCGACTCCGATGACGATGAGAGGCCACTGGAGGAACTTGAGACAGTCTGTGTTGTTGGCTCTGCCGCTTAGCCATATTCCACCACCCAGTATTGGGATTGATAGCAGGAAGGTTAGGAAGTTCAGTGCACCTATCAAATGGTTACTGGTTCTCATCTCTCTCTAAACTTCTTGTTTCTCTCTCTTTGGTTCTTGGTTGTTGAGAGAGCTGGGGACTTAGATGTAAGATGTAGGGTGATATTATTTAGTGTTTTATATATGCAGTATGAACAGTGGGAGTGATGGGGTTGACAGAAAGACAATAGGGGGTTTGCCATAAATTATTTAACAAGTCATTTGTGAAATGACAAATATATCCTTTTGAATAGGGGTGTAATTTTGGAGGATTGAGTGGGTAATTTGGTCTTCTAAATTGCGGAAGTGTGTGGTTAGCTCAGTGCCGGCCCAATCTTTAGGCCATTGCTTAGCCCCCAAATTAGAAAAAGAAAAATTGGGTCTTCGTAATAAAATAAACAAAGATATATAATTAAAATTTTAAAATATATTTTAATTATTAAATTAATAATAATTGCTAACTTTAAACAAAATTCATTATTTATCTAATATATTTGGTCATCAAATTAAGTACAATTAGTATTATTATAAAAATTTTAGAACCTGTTTCAAAAAAATTTAGGATCTTAAAGTTCAACTTATTTTTTTATCTCACCCCATATTAATATTATATATATTATCACTTTGTAGTGTTATTATTAAAATTAATTGTCTATCGTATAATAGATACAAATAATAATTTTACATTTGTATAAATTAAATTTGAGGTTATTTTTTAATAATTTTGTTTACAAAGTACAAAATGACTATAAAATAGATTGAGTAGAAATAGTGCACTAACTATCTTTTTTATTTAAAAATAGTTCTTTTTCTCTATGATATCTAACAACTAGGGGTAACTCATGTCTGCAGGCACGGTGCAATATAAGTGAAAAGTGATAGATTTATGGAAGAAAATTCAATTTGAATGGTTTTGAGACAAATGTTAGTAGCCATTAGATAAGTTTATTTAAGATCGTCGAATGGACTTATTAAAGTCTACCCTGATTTATTTTATAGATGTTTCAATTATGACTACTCAACTTGTATAAATTTTTATTTTTATATACATTTAGAAAAAAATTATTTTGCTAGTCAAATTAATTTTCAATTATATTTTTCTTTTATCTTAAACAAATAGTATGTATCATTGTATTTAATTTTCGTATTTGACTTTGATTAACACAATTTTTATTTATAAAATTTAAATTTAAAATTTGAATTAGTCTGTCTATATCTCAAAAGACAAAACAAATAATTTATGCATAAATATATTTTAATAAATATTTAATATTACTGTTATTACTAAATAAATATTTATAAGACCTCATATGGTATTTGTCTAGGGCCCAAATTAGGTTGGGCCGCCCCTGGATTAGCTTGAGCCTAGGTTAGTTTCTTGATATGTGGCCGTGTGGCTGTGGCCGTGGCTGTAGCTGTAGCTGTGAAGTCAAAGGGAAGATGGCACGAAAATGAAAGGTCGATACTATGTTTATCTAAATTTTTATTAAATTTCAAATTTCAAATAAATATCAAGGATTAATTATTTTTTTATTTTTATATGATTTCGGTTAGAAATATCTTATTTACGTGACGTTTAAAATTATGCATATTACTTCATTATAATTATATACTAAAATAAAATGATTACTTTTATCATCCAAGTTAGAGAGTGTGCTCCACATGTTCAAAATATGCGGTGGGTTTTGTTTTCATGTTTTCCTACAAAAAAAAAAAAAAAACATTGTCTATGTTGTGGGCTTTGTTTTCATTATTTTTCTTCAAAACAATATTGTCTAAGTGCCTAAAATAGGTTTTATAATATATGGTATAATACTCAAATAAGTCAACGGTTCAAGTTTTCTTTCTCCTCTCCCTACCAAAAAAATAAATAATAATAATAATACTTAAATAAGTAGGATATCAATCCCAAATAAAAAAAAAATGTAAGAAAAAATAAGTGATTTTTGACCCTAGATCAAAACCTCACACGAGGGAAAAAGAAACTCGAAATATTTGATTGAAATGTATTTGATTTATTATCATATTCCATTAGTTTTGTAGTCAAAAGTAAAATAGACAAAAAGTCTGATTTTAAAATGTAGGTATTATAATAATTTTTTAATTTCATTTACGGCGTCAATTACTTCACTTTGTACATAATTATAAGAAGATAATGTGTATAATTTTAAACTTCAAGTGAATAAAGTGTTTATAGTCAAAATCACGAGGGAATAAAAAATAATTAACCCCAATATCAATTTTTTAATTATTTTTTTTTTTTGATCTGAACCCTAATATCAATCAAAGAATCAATATACCCTTTTGAGAGGGGTATTATTTTGGATGGTTGAGTGGGTAATTTGGTCTTCTAATTTGGGAAAATGTGAGTGATAAGTAAGTTTATGTCGGTTTCTTGATCTGTGGTTCTGGGGGCGAGTTGGTGATGGAGTGATTTGACTAAATTTGAAAAGGCTTAATGGGCTAGTCTTATATGATGAAATGACATATATGCCCTGTTGAACAAGGGAGATATTTTGGAGGGTTGAGTGTGTAAATTGGTCTTCTACTTGAGGGAAGTGTGAGAGATAGGTGTAGACTTGTAGTTAGCTTGTGGTTGTGGAGTGATTTGGTTGATTGAGTGAAGATTTGATTAGATCATTAAAGAATGACTTTAATGGATCAGTTGCATGTGTTAGGCTTAAAAAGCTGTGTCAATGCTTCATTGGGTATTTTCTTGAGAAAATACTGCATTGAGTCTGTAATTTTAATAAAAACAAGTGAAAGGGTATCCATTCGTACCCAAAATTATAATTTTTTAAAATTATATTATATTTTTTTTGAAATATAAGTTATAATTTTAAAACATACGATCGATCATAGAAGATTGAGATCAATACAAAGAATTCATAATTAATTATGAATGTTGTAATCGATCATGACCTTCTCTTGAGTAATTATAAATTATTCTCTCAAAGTTATAATTTTATCATAAAAAATAATAAATAACAGTTTTCGGTACCATAGACTTTCCCTAAAAACATTATAACACATATTCAACTTTGACCTTTTAAAAAAAATCAAATATTTTGATTATCTCAAAAACCTTTTTTATAAACGAAATTCATCTGATTAGTTTTAATTTTGAATTATTAATTGTTATGTAGGAGTCATGATATATAGGTGCCCTAAATTGTGTGCCTATGTATATCAAATCAATTCAAATATTAGTCATGACTCGTGTTTAAATATATGATAAAACATAAAATTTGAGTGTTTAAAAAATTAATTTTATTATATTAAATAATATTTTTTCCTTCATTTATTTAATTACCTCATTTAAAGTTTATTTTTATCAATTATTTTTAAAAAATACCAACAAAAATACATAATTCGATAAATTTTTTCAACATGTGTATATTATTGTGTATAAATAATGTCTGAAATAAAAATTATATTAAACTACAAATTAATCAAATGTGTATGAGATAAAATTTTAAACACTTACCTGTTTTATTATATAGATAATCATAACTTGTGCCCGAAGACACCGAAGACATGATGCAATATAAAATTCAACTGACCAAAAAATTGAGCTCAATATATCAATTATAATTTTTTCTTTTATTCTTTTTTTTAATTAGCAATGTACGATGTGCATTGTAAATAAATAAATAAAATATTATTTTTATAGAAAATGTGAATTATATGTGTAATTCAATTAAATAATAAATTAAGTGCTAAGTAATTATTTTTATTTTAATTATTGTTAAATTTAATAATTAATTTATTCTACAAGTCTTTGAGTATTTAATATATCATTTATTTAGATATTTTTTCGATCCTTTTAGGCATTTATAGATCTAATTATATTATAGATTATTAATTTTTATTTTGTTAAATAGATTGATTGGATCATTTATAATATTATTATATTATTGTAAACCAAAAAATTTATATAACATATATTTGACTGTAAAATTCAATCTAATAATGTAAATAATTAATTTAACATATATAGGAATTTATTTCTTCATATAGATATAAAAAATTATTTGTGTAATTAAACTACTAATAAATGAGTTCAAAATAATTTAAAAGTCCTTATAAAAAAAGTTCAGAACAAGTTAAAAGTTAAATAGTAGTAAAAAATAAAAATTAGATGAAAATGAATAGGTGGGTATAATTAATTTTCTATTTTATCACTAATTATTATGACAAAATCAAAAGTTTTTAACAAATGCGAACATTTATAAATAGTATAAATTACACAATTTAAAATTCATTTGTGTCTATTATTTAAAAAAAATTGACACAAGTTTCTCAAAATGCATGACTTCAAAAGAGTATCGAAATAGCTAGATTAATGATTCAACTTGTGATAAAAATAAATGATACGATAGAAATGAGTGAAAAAAATATTTGAAGACAAAATTCAAAATTCTAATTATCTTGTTATTGAAACCTTATCATCCACAATATTGTAAGGACTATGGAGTAAATATTGGGTGTAAGATACACCACATCATCAATGACACCTAATATCATCATTTAATAATAAACTTACACATATGTAAGATGAACTTCACTTGGATAGTTAGTAAATGACACGATAGGAGGGTTACTAAAATTTGTGGGATCCACCTGCTTATTTATTATACTTTTATTAAATGGTGACATCACATAACAATGATGACGTGATATCACCATTGCACCAAATATTTTTTCGTGGATTGTGGTAGCCTATCTGATAAATAATCCACAAATAAATAAAGTGAAGTTTATTTCTTACATAGTTAGTGATAGACCATATTTTACATCAATGGGGAGGGCCCACATCACATGGGTGTATCATAATAAAGACCCAAGATTTATCTTTTTCAGACAACTTAGAGCTTGTAACCTTGTTGATTGACCAATTAGATTCAAGCACAATTTTTAATATTTGCATAGACATATATATCAAGAAAGTATCAACTCGAAGAGTATGATCTCTCCACGATAAGTACCTCTCCACTTTCTCTATAAAGATGGGTGAAGACCCAAAGGTAGAGAGGCCTGAA